TTTATTCACCGTATGCTCTCTCTCTCTGCTACGATCTTGTCTCTCTCCTGGAAGGCCCAGTCTCTGCGGCACTTGGCCACTTCTGCCTCCTGCACAGCCTCCTGGAGCTCCTCCGAAACGGCCTCGCACTGCTTCCTCAGAACCTCCAGCTCCTTACTTACACGCTCCATGTCCAGCGTCGCGCTATCCTGCTTCTGCAAGGAGACAAATGAGATTAAATAAGACCCCTAACTCACATACAGTGGTGGCCAAAATGATTAGAACACTAGTATTTTCAGCAGCTAAAAATGGTTTTAATTATTTCTATCTTTTGCTGTAGTGTGTCAGTAGGAAATATCAGCTTACAGAAACAGAACAAACCGAGACAGACTAAATCCAGAAGAACTGTGGCAACGTCTCCAAGATGCTTGAAGAAACCTCCTGCAAAGCTACAGTACTGTTAAAAGTTTTAGGCACTTGTGTAAAAATGCTGTAAAATGAGGAAACTGTCAAAAATGATGTCATAAATAGATTTTCTTTATCAATTAACTTATATTTCCTAAATTAAATCAACATTATTAATATTTCCTACTGACACACTACAGCAAAAGATAGAAATAACTGACTTAAACCCACTTTTAGCTGCTGAAAATACTAGTGTTCTAATCATTTTGGTGGCCACTGTATATAAGTCCAGGTTTAAGTCATTGTACCTGTCTGGCCTGATAATACTCTCTCAGGAGCTGGTCTCTCTGGATGATGGCCTCTGTTCGCTCTTTACGGGCCACGTCACGCTCCTCTCGCACCATCTCGATGTCCTTACAGGCCTGGCTCAGCTCCTTCTGCGTCTCGGCTTTGTCCTGCACCTCGTGACAGTATTTCTCCAGCAGCTCGGTCTTCTCTCGGATCGCCCGGTCCCGGTCCAACAGAGCCGAGTTCAGCTCCTGCACACAACGCAACAAACATCAAACCACCAATAATTACAATAATTCTATGACAAAGAGGCAGTGCTGGGAAGGACAGGTTTTTTAGAGGTTATTTGGGATTCAAACTCATAACCCTAAATATAAGCAATAGCAGCAACAGTGATTACTGCCTGAGCAAAAACAATATACCACTGAGATTAAATAATTTAATCAAATCAGTTTTACATCATATATCATATTTAATAAATTAGTTATCTAGATTAATACTGAGAAATATATTTTTTAATTACTTAATGAAATTACAAAAAAAGATAAATAGCATAATTTAAATAAATGTTTATTTAGTTAATTGAATTAATATTTTATATATAAATATTAATTAACTAAAAACGTTTGCTTTCAGTGCTATCAGGCTAAAGTTAGCATTTTCCGAGATCTACTGCACCTTTAAATATTAAGATTAATACTGAGATATATTCATTTTGTTATATTTCAAAATTTTTTATATTTTATAAAAATACTTAGCAGTATTTAATATTTAAAATTTAAATATTTAATTAAAAATGATATAAATAACAACTTAAAGAACTAAAATATATCCAAATAAATTTTTTATATTTACAATATTATTTATTTAAATATGTCTTAGTTATTTAGATTAAAACTAATTAAATATTTCAATATGAAATAATTTATTTTGTTAAAAATTAATTTTAAAAAAATACACAAATGTTTACAATATTATTTATTTAAATATGTCTTAGTTATTTAGATTAAAACTAATTAAATATTTCAATATTAAATAATTTATTTTGTTAAAAATTCATTTAAAAAAAATACACAAATGACAAGGACATGGACTTCTAAACACTTCTGATTGAACACTTTTGTCTGTGAGTCTTTTGAATCTTTTATTCAAATCTTCTAAACGAACATTTTCTTGAATCACATGGATCAGAATCGAATCACAATTCAAGGAGAGCATGTTTGATTATTGCCTCTGCTCTACAAAAGATTACACCAGTAAGTAAAACCATTCGCAAGCATTTTCATAGTGACTGTCGTCTTCAGTAGTTGCACGTGTTTGACCTGTCTGAGAGCCTCGATCTCCTCGCCGGCGACCCTCCTCTCGCTAGACGTGTTCTTGAGTCTGGCTTCAGCCGCATCCAGTCCGGTCTGGAGTTTATCCACCTCTTTGATGACCTGATCTCTCTCGCTCATGATCAGCCTGTATTCGTTGAACACGGAGTCTCTCTCCTCCTTCAGCTTCTCGGCGTCTTTCACGGCCTTCAGCTGCAGGGTCTTATAGCGCGTGTTCTCCATCTGCAGCCGATCGGTTTCTCTCTGCAGCTCCTCGTTCTGAGCGGACGCCTTATTCAGCTCCTGCTGGAGACTCTCGAACCTGAAAGAGACCATAATGTCATCCTAAAGGCCTTTTCACACTGAACGCGAAAATTCGGCGTGAATGTTCGGCACGATGACGCTTTTGAATCGAAACAATAGATCCCTATGGGGCTATTTACACCAGGCGCGATCATTCGTGGCGTGAAAAAGCGAGGATTTTTTTTTCGTATACACGTATGGGGCTGTTCACACTAGGCGCGATCATTCGCGGTGCGAAAAAGCGAAGATTTTTTTTTTCGTCCTGTGTGTCGATTTTTTCCCCGTCGCTCCGCAGCGAAATGGGCCGTCCAATCAGATTTGAGCTAAGATCACGTGCCCGGAGCAGCACAAAACGGAAAGAGTGGTGGCGCTGTTGCGAAAACCAGTTTAAACAAACACCGAAAAAGAGTATTCTGAGAGAGAAGAGGATGCTGAGTTCTTGTTATCATTGGGATCCGAGAACAGATTTATTCTCACATGTTCTTTATACAGAATATCAAATATCATTAGCACTGTCCGTTTTCTTCCACATGCGCGAGTGTTATGAGTCAGAGTGCGTTCACTCTAGATCTGTCAATCATGGGATAATATCTCCTGCCATTACGTATGAAAAAATGAGAGAAAAATTTTTCTTGAAATTAAATTTGAGAGCAAATACATTATGGCGATATATTTTCTGTATGTGTTTAATGCAGCTCATGATATTTTTATAACAATAAAGGATGTTTATGATGAGTGAGAAGCAGGTGTCACGTTCAAACCATTATAAAACATACAATGCCTATCATAGAATAAAAATCCACTTTAGATCTCAATCGGAAGTTATTACAAAAACTCGATGATGGTTTAAAGTGGGTTTTAAGCAAAAACATAAATAAATCACATACATTTTCAAATGTAGCTTGATGCTAATTGTACCCCCATAATTAAATGCTTTACATTGAGCAGCGGACCTTATTACGAGATACATATCTGAGGGTAGCACTGTCCGTTTTCTTCCACGTGCGCGAGTGTTATGAGTCAGAGTGCGTTCACTCTAGATCTGTCAATCATGGGATAATATCTCCTGCCATTACGTATGAAAAAATTAGAGAAACATTTTTCTAGAAATGAAATTTGAGAGCAAATAGACATTATGGCGATATATTTTCTGTACGTGTTTAATGCAGCTCATGATATTTTTATAACAATAAAGGATGTTTATGACAAATGAGAAGCAGGTGTCACGTTCAAACCATTATAAAACATACAATGCCTATCATAGAATAAAAATCCACTTTAGATCTCAATCGGAAGTTATTACAAAAACATTGCATTTGAATGTGGATTTTTATTTTAAATTCAACGAATATTCTAAATTTGAAAAATTTTACAGCCCTATTCCACACCAAAACTGAACCCAAGCCTTTCACACAGAACGCATATTTATCGCATTTTCTATAGGGACATCTACTGTATCACCGTTGCACTCGCGTCTCGCATGACCTCTTTAACAGAATCGAAACCTCTTGAATGACTGATCTGGAAAGCACTATGTAGGATGCGAGATGAGTACCTCCTGACAGAGCCGCTGTACTGCTGCTGGAAGTGCAGCGCCGAGTCTCTCTGCTTCAGCAGAACGTCCTGCTGTTTCTGCAGACGCCGGTTCTCCTCCTCCATCTGCTCCAGGCGGCTCAGATCGGCGTTGTGGCTCGCCATTTTCTCATTGTATCGTTTCCTCAGGGCGTCGTACTCTTTCTTCATCCCCTCCAGCTTGTTTAAGGCCGTATCGTAAAGCTTATTCAGCAGTTCAGAGGAGCCATTCTCCCTCATGACCTACAGAGAGAAATAAAACACCTTCAGCTCAAAAGAAACTGAATCCACAACTAAATCACTGAGTTGAGGTAAATTTGGACTGAGAGAAAGCAGCATCACGCCAGCGGATGGCACCACTGAGTCACAAGTCTGCTGACACAGAGGTCAAACCAGTCCAAAGAAAACCAGAGAATTATCAAATGAAACATGTACAGCATTTAACTATAATATAGATTATTAAGAAGGACATCATGTATCCATCATAATTTGACTGGATTGTAAAAATACAAATGATTCCACTGGTAATATTTTCAATCTGGCATTTCAGAGATTCTGAAGATCACATTTAAAAATCACATTTCAATAAAAGATCAAGAACATAGTGTTATTTTTGTATCATTTATATACTATTATAGTTTTCATTAATATTTTGATATTACATTTTATTTATACTATTATTTATTTTAGGTTTCTTTTACATATTTTTATTTTTATTTCAGTTTTAGTTATTTCCAATAAGTAAATTTAGTGCTTTAACTTAAATGTATTAGCTGAATTTATATATCATATAATAATATTTATATATTTATTTAAATATGTATTAGTTATTTGGATTAATATTTAAATATTTAATTAGTTTTAAATAAGTTATTTAGTTATTATTAATTTTAAAAATTATTATTTAGATATTATAAATTTTTTTAATTACTTTAAAAAAACCATTTTAAATTTTTTTTTTTTTTATATTACCATTGAGGTTTCATTAATTTTAATTTTTATCTTACTTTTTGTTTTCATTCAGGTTTATATCTTTATTTCCATTTTTTAAGTAATTTTACTGATTCTATTCAATCTAAACTTATCAGTAAACTCTCCATTTCCATTTTTCATTTGTTTTCTGTTTTATATCAGCTTTATGTCGATTACCAAAAAATGTTTTTGTTTTGTATTATTTATAAGAATATTTATTAATACTTTGAATTAGCATTTAGATTTACAGTTCTTATTTAAATTTTTTGTAATTTTATGTGCTTTTGATGTGTTTGTGCTTTTTTATTTAAAAATGACAGTACTAGGCTGAACAGAGCGCCTGGTATTGTGCTTACTAACATCAACACTCTGACAACAATATCACTGCGAACAGATCAGATATATACCTGATACCTGCAAACTCACAAGAGGTCAAAAATGTGACATAGTTCAGAATATAAACCTTGTAGGGGGGTCTAGGGGTGTAACGCGCTCCGAAGTTCACGGAACAAAACCGAGACGGCAGAAAGCAGTTTTCTTTATTTTACAAAAGCTTTACAGTTTTGAATGATGTTTTGCTTCTATCTGTATGACAAACCAGAGTTCGTATGACCATAAATTACAGAGTAACAGTTGGGAAAACAATGCAGTGTTCGCGTCGGTGCCTCACACGCACATACAAAAATTTTAGCTAATTTGACATCACAGCCTGTTCATTATAAAAAAAAAATACAGTTAAAAATACATTAAAAAAAGTTACACTGCTCAATTCAAATAGTCCGTAGTACAGTCTGTGCCGTTCAGTGTGACCAGTCTCACTGCTAATATAGTCTATATGTGAAGGATGATGTTTTACGTCGATAATGCGAGTGAAGAACAAACCGTATAGTTTACATAATAAATAACAGGTTAGCATCCAGATACTTCGCGAATGTGGATCTCTCATGCAGAATGAGAGAGGTAGGCTTCAGTTTCGTTTTTATTTTTATAAATATATGTTTTATTAATTTTCACTTTATAAAAAAATAACATCCTTGCAAAATAATGATATTCCGTTTCGTTTTTAAATTAATTCGTTTTGGCTTGATGCTTATATTTCGCCTAAATACAACTTTAGAGGATTAGTTGTGGAGAGAAGGGAACTTAAAATAGCCTAATTGTGTTTGTAATTTTGCTTTTATTTACCATTATTTTAGCCTACATTATTTCTGAATGTAATAATAAAATGCAACGTACAGCCTACTAATTTAGGCAGTTTTTTCCTCTCAAAAAGCTTATAGGAGTAGCGTATTTTTATCCATTTTTAAATATCTTGAAAAAAATTTAATGTTTTTATTGCGTTGACAGTTTTTTCTTTTGTTTAATACATTTGGTCTTTGGTAAATCTAGAAATCTCTTCATGATTTTTTTTTTCATTTTGAGTAAATTAAACGCTGTACTTTATTATTATTATTATTATTATTATTATTGGCAAAGAAAAAGTTTTTAAAAATAACGTTATTAACCGGCAGTGGCAGAGCCAGGATTTTTTCATAGGGGTGGCCACAGAGGGGCCAGCAACCAGTCTGGGGTGGCACATAAATCTTCATTATTTCAATATAAAAATGTGTTTGACTATAATGTACTGGACTGTTTTAGTGCCTAAAACACAACTGAGTACAATTAATTTCTACTTAACTGTAATTGAGATATTTGTGAATTAAATCAAGTAATACTGCGTGAATATGACAATTTTTGTATTATTCCTTACCTCCAGGTATTTTAATAAAGGGGCTCACTATAGCTTTATTGCTCATTCAGCTTCTCAAAACTCCCAAATGCTTGCTCTCCAACATTGCATACTCATGGATGAGGCATGCAGATAGTGATACAAATGTGAAAAAGGCCGAAAGTCAACAGCAGCCATAAATGCCAGAATATAAAATGAGTTATTTTATGCATTTAAATGGTTTCATTTTCACATATTTTCTAGTATAAGTTAAGTGCACTGTGCTCACATTTATTTGTGCATTAAATAAAAATTAAAAAAAAAAAATACATATCAGCTTGTGCCTTACATTGTGATCTCGAATTGCAGAATATATTTCAGTATGCATTTGAGAGACGTTCTTGTGTGCTGCATATACATGCACGGTTTGCAGCTTTAATCGCCTTTTTGGTAATTTCATGACTTAGCTGACGACAGAACTAGGTATGTATGCTCATAGTTTCTTGTGTGGGTTATTTATGATGAAGTGATATAGAGCGTGCGCCACATATTTGCGTACTGTTGAAGAGTGTGCGCCGTGAGCACAGTAAACGGCCGATGGGACAGGAAAGTGTGTTTTACGGACATATAGTCTAACAACATCTCATCAGACCGCAGGTTCACAGCTGTTCTACTGAAGCTCATTTGGCTGCTGTAGCTTTTCCGCGCTTGTTTGACTCGCGCCTGCGAAGCTGAAGTGCGCGTCTGAAAATTCTCCCGTTTGGTGTGGTCATAAAGAGATACGGCGGTTCTGCATCTTAATAAATGCATTTCTTGTCAAGAAAAAAAAGGGACAAAAAGTGCAGTTTTGAGTGGGGTGGCCAATGGGGCCACTGTTAACCGGTATGTTTTCTACTCAAACCGGTTTCACAGAGGAACGCAGGAACAGAAACGTTCAAAGACCGATTCTGCTCGGAGTGAACCGCTCTTTTATTTTTCTCGTTTTTAAGCCCTGCTTTATGCAATTGACCAATATCGGTATCGGCCAATAGTTGTTTGTTAAAATCGTATCGGCCAAAAAAAATCCTATCGGTGCATCCCTATGCTAAACCTCATCATTCTCCTCAGAGTTGTGTGTGCATGTGTGATTTGTACCTGTTGCTGCTGCAGGCGCATGTCTGCCACCTCGCGCTGGTCGTTATCATGGACACGGCGCAGCTCGTCGCAGGTCTGCTGCAGCTGTGAGTGCTGCTGCAGGAGCTGAGAGTAGTTCTGCTTCATGGCCTCCATCTCGTCCCGCAGCTGCGTCTGTTCACCGACCGCACGCCCGTGAAGAGTGCTGAGAGACGCAGAGTCGCACGAGTTAACCAATGCATCAGTGAACAGAACAACAAATTAAGCTCAGTTAAATGTGCCAGATAAAATGATGACATGAGTTTACAAAATGAACATTTGTTGAAAATTAACTTGGAAGCTCTGCAACTGATGGACTGGAGTGGTGTGGATTACTTGTGGATTATTGTGATGTTTTTATCAGCTGTTTGGACTCTCATTCTGACGGATGGTAATCTTTAATCAAAATCTGAACATTTGCTTCCGCTCTGGAATGGCATTGCTTCTCTGATGACGTCAGTTTGACGGCTCGGGCAGAATATTCTTTTAAACACACCCCTCCAACCGTTAGATTGCTATGAGTGAGAGACAGAGAGGAGGAGCGCTAAAATAAAACCACGGCCTCTATTCAATATTCCGTTTCAGCTGGAAATACGTCACTACACTGAAATAAAGTCGGCGGCAACTTCCGGTTCACGCGGACTTTAAGACCAGTGTCGATATCTTACAGAGCAGGGTGGCTGATGGTCAATATAAAACCAGTGTATATGATATTACACCATTTAATTTAAATACCATGAATAACATTTGCTGCAATGAAATTAGAATTTATTTTACAAAATTAATAAATTGGAAAAATGTGTATAATGAGTCAATATAAAAAATGATTACACACACACACATACATATACATATATATCTATGCTTTGGCAACTTATTGAGTGCACATGTGATATATTTATATATTTAATTTATAAAAAATATTTAATTTATATTAATATTTAATAATTAATATTATTATTATTGACTGTTCATAAAAATTAATCATGCTATATACTCAATATTTTGATGTTTTTAGCACCCTCAGATTCCAGATTTTCAAATAGTTGTATCTCGGCCAAATATTGTCATATCCTAACAAACCATACATCAATGGAAAGCTTATTTATTCAGCTTTCAGATGATGTATAAATCTCAATTTTAAAAAAAAAATTTTTTTTTTGTGGTCCAGGGTCACATTTATGCTTTAGCAACTTATTCTGTAATCCTATTATTATTTTTCACAAACTAAAGCAACAAATATGAATAAAACGCACTAAGAGTCATATTTTCTAAATAATATTACTGTCAAAATAAAAGCTTAGCTAAACAGATAAATTTATCAGACGCAGGTAAAAAAAAAAAAAAAAAGACAAATCTCAGCCGATATATCGATCTACTGCTAGACATGTTATGAGTTTTATATGGTTAGAAGAACAAACTACCCCCATAAAAGGTAAAAATGTCCCTTGATAATCAACTCTAGGTGGAAATATATATATACAGTTAAAGCGCTCACTGGTAGTAATCGGCGTCTCTCACGGCCTCCTCACATCTCTTCAGGGTTTTGGTGTGCTGGTTCTGGAGAGACTGCAGGTCTGACATGGCCTTCATGCACTGCAGCTTCAGACGCTCGTAATCGTGACCCGGCTTCACACTCGGCCTACACACACACACACACACAGATATATGCAAACGTCTCACGCTGTGCAAAATCATTTGGTTCACACACAAAAGTGTGTTTTTTCAGGCTCTATCAACACTCAGGTGAAAAGACACAAAAACAGAGTAAAAAGCCTCATTTATGAAATAGTAATGAAAGTAAACATACTTTATTCATACACTTAAAGCACTCCGTCCAATCTCACGCTCAGATAAGAAGAGATGGACTGTCTAGCAGGGTTACAGTGTTTGAAAGACTGAGACTGGACACAAGAAAGATCTGAAATCTCCAGTTCAGTAACAAAAACCCTGTTCAATCTGTTCTACAGTTAGCTGGCTCACAGCATGAGATGAGTTACTACAGCTACACTTACAGCCCAGTGTTCATTTAGTATCATTATATACTTTTATAGTATTTATTTTTACATTTTAAATTAGCTTTTATTTTTATATTTAGAGTTTTTATTTTTATAATTACACGGTTTTAGCAATTTTGTTATGTTGTTTTGTGCTTTTCTATTTAACTGCAATTTATTTTTATTTCAGTTTTACAGTAATTTTGGCATTTCAACCTAAACTTATTTTATTACAGTTAGCTGCCAAGGCAACATTTCATTTTTTTTAAAGTGGAATTTTGTTTATTTAATATTTATATATATTTTTAAAAATTTTGGTAACACTTAAGGTGTCCTTGATACACGTTACATGTACTTACTATTATAATAACAACAATAAATTATGCATAATTGCATGCATGTAACCCTAAGCCAAACCGTAATCCTAACCATATAGTAAGTACATGTAGTTAATTAATATTACTCAGTACTTAAATGTATAATTACACTGTAACAAGGACACCTTAAAATAAAGTGTAACTTTATTTTTATTTCGTTTTAGTTTTAGTAATATTAGTACTTCAACCTAAACTAAGGTGAAGTTTTTATCTAATATTATTATTTTATTTTTTATTTTTTTCAATTAATGAAAACATTTTGTAGTAGTTTTAGTTAACTAAAAACCATTAAAATAACATTTTAAAAAAAGACATTCACTGAAAGTGAAAAATATTAAAAACCTACTTTTATTTCAAGGCAAAATTTCTCATTTTTATTTAGTTTAACTTTATGTAGTATAATAACTAAAACTGAAAAATTAATAAAAACTGTACAGACTTAAAAACATACATTTAAAAAATATATCTCTAAAAAAATATATACAAAAATGCTAATAAAAATGGCAAAAACATACAAATACATTTAGAAAAATTTAAACTAAATTTAAAATGAAAACAAAAAAATATAAAAATAAATTCAAAATGTTAATAAAAAACTATAATAGTATCTCAATGATACTAAAATACTGATATTGTTAACAGTACAATACTGGTTACTGTACCCGCAGTCGTCGAAGGTGGTGCCCGGCGAGGAGAGGGCCAGTCGTTTGCGCAGGTCGTCTCGCTCGCGGGTCACCTGTCTGAGCTGGAAGTTCACCGTCTCCAGTTTCTCACTCATCACATGCTTGTCCAGGTGAGCAGGAGGAGGTGAGGATGCTGGGATAGACAGACATGTGTATCAGTGAATACAATTACAAATAATATATTGTACACTATATATGTACTTCACTTCTGAAGAGGGAAATGGCAGGCAGGTGTAGATGCACAGAGCTTTCAAATGCAGATCTGAAGACAGTAGGCCAGACATGTCGGGTTCATAAACTTTTGCTTTCAGTTTGAGATTCAGCTCAGTTGCTGTTCATAGCTCATACAGATGTTATGAATAAACAATGATTTTATCTGGGCCACTGACGACCCGTCCCACATCCCTCACTGCACAAAATAACAGAGCAGTCTGTCTTGTTTTAGACGTCTAATGGACAGAAGCGTCTCTCAGCTGGTGTCTGAGTTCGCTCAGTGTTTTTCACAGTCAGTCCCAGATTTTCGCACCAGTAGGATGTCAGGAATATGTGCAGCACTGTAAATCATACACTACCAATGAGTTTGTGAAAGACGTGTCTTATGCTCAACAATTATACATTTATGTGCTCAAGTATACAGTAAAATTGTGAAAAAGTATTACAATTTAAAATAGCTGTCAAATATATGTTAAAATGTAATTGATTGCTGTGATCAAACTGTATTTTCAGCATCATTATTCCAGTCTTCAGTGTCACATGATCTTCAGAAATCATTCTAATATGCTGATTTGCTGCTCAAGAAACATTTCTGATTATTATCAGAGTTGAAAACAGTTGTGCTGCACAATATTTTTTTGTGGAAACCATGATGCATTTAATTTTTCAGAACTCTCTGATGGATAAAAAGTTCAAAAGAACAGCATTTATTGTAAAATCTGAAATCTTTTGTAACATTATAAATGTCTTTATTAGTGATTTTAATTTGTCCTGCTGGATAAAAGTATTTTTTTTAATTACCGACCACAAACTTCTGAACAGTAGTGTTTACGTATAATCCTGATTTAGAAAATAATATAAAAGTCCTTCCATAATTTATAATGTCTTTATTTTTTAACCACGCTAGAATCCAAGGCTATGAAAAAAACGGGATAAAAAAATAGGATTTTTAATGTCCAATTTTAATAATAATTCTAATGTCTGCAGACCGATTAAAAAATATATTTAAATTATATTTTTTTAAAACTCTACGATAAAAAAAAACTGTAAAAAATCCTTATAAATATACATATTTATAATAGCATATTTTCTCAAAAAAAAAAAATAAAGCCAATTTTAAAAGAATTAAAACTTTTTGTACTGTGACATTATTTCCATGACAATTAAATGCATTTCCCTCCCAAAAAAAGTAATTTCTCATTATTGCAACGCCAAAAACAAATAATATTAGAGCTTAAAAAAAAATGAGATGCTATATAATGTTTCTGTCGGATAAAATGACCAAATTACCCACGCCTAACAAACACACAAACACTGACCGGACTCACCGACACTGCTGAGAGAACTGCTGCTCTCCGAGTCCGACGGCATCGCAGACAGAACGCTGCACGTGGAACCTGAAGCAAACAAACAAACATCAGCATTTACTCCAGCGTCAGAGAGTGCATGAGATCTGACAGCATCTGTCCAGTGCGGCTGCGTCTCAATCTGTGTTCATCAGTATACACTGAACATGAATACAGGCCTGATCCTCTAAACACAGAGACGCGTGAATCAAGTTTCAGTGCGCTGGAACCACGTTAACAATGAAGCGGCCAACTCTCTGGGCAGGGAACATACTGCACGAGACACACCTGTGAGAACGGTCGGACATCTCTACTTCAGCGCAGTCAAAGACACACAGAGGCCTCCAGCTGTATCTGAGTAACTCGAGCTGGTAATTAGGCTTGAATGGAGACTCAGTTTCTCTCTCAGGACGGGTCTGTTTATTTGCTCGCCTCTCTTTCGTTTCACTCCAGAGCAGCTCATGTGCTTCAATTATTTATTATTGAAATTATTTTGAAATACAGTTCTTGTCAAAAGTTTGTAACATTATGAATGTTTTTAAAGAAGTCTCTTCTTCCCAACAAGACTGCATTTATTTGATCAAATACAGTAAAAACAGTAATATTGTGAAATACTGTTTCAATTCAAAATAACTGGTTTCTATGTGAATACAGTAAACTGTAATTTATTTCTGTGATCAAAGCTGTATTTTCAGCATCATTACTCCAGTCTTCAGTGTCACATGATCTTCAGAAATCATTCTAATATGCTGATTTGCTGCTCAAGTATTATTGGTGTTATTAATAATGGTTCTTATCAATGTTAAAAACAGTATTGTGTGGAAAATATTTTTCATGAATAGAAGGTTCAACAGCATTTATTTGAAATAAAATGTTTTACTATCACTTTTGATCTACTTAATGCACATTTGCTGAATAAAAGCATTAATTTCTATTAAAAACACACACATACCCCAAACATTCGAATAGTAGTATATCATGTTTTCTGCATAAATTTGAAGCAGAATAACCGTTTTCAACATTGATAATAATCAGAAATGTTTCTTGAGCAGCAAATCAGCATATTAGAATGATTTCTGAAGATCATGTGACACTGAAGACTGGAGTAATGATGCTGAAAATACAGCTTTGATCACAGAAATAAATTACATTTTACAATAAATTCACACAGAAAACAGCAATTTGAAATTCTAATAATATTTCACAATTTTACTGTATTCTTGAGCACATAATGCAGCCTTGGGGAGCAGTCGAGATATCATTAAAAACATTTAAAAATCATGTTTCCAAACTTTTGACAATTAAATGAAAGCCAGTGGGGTTCAGTGTTGTTTTGGACCCCATTGACTTTCATAATATGGACAAAACATCTTTTAAATTATTTTTTTTTGTGTTCTGCAGATGAAAGAACGTGATGAATGATCACAATTTTGACTATCAGCACAGTGGTGTCTGTACAGCGGGGTGGGTTTTGTTTATCCAGCACCATCAGACACATCCTGATCCGGTCTGATGACGCAGAGACGCAGACAGAATGAGCTCTGATCAACTCTCCTTCACACACACGCTGGAAATACCACAAAATATTTACTAATAACCATTCAGTGCAACGATTATATCATGGTAAAACCATATGACATCACCAATGCACTATGGTGGTACTGCCAATTATATGTAAGGGATGGTGATGGAAAGCGAAACATGCACTGAAAGTACATGAATTGATAATACATGAATTGGATTTACTCAGATGTTTCACTCCTAACACACCCATGCTGAATGCTGTTAAAATATGCAGGGAAATAATTAATACATCAGAGTTAATTAACACCTGAAGTTAATTATGATCATCATGTTTGTGAGGTGTGACAGGGCTCAGTGTTACTATAGCGACAGATCCACACAGAGGCTGAGAGGAACTGGGTCAACAGTAGACTTGTGCCGGTATTCGGTAATGCGATATATCACGGTAATGAATATGCACGATATTGTTATTGTGGGCACTTCTAAATACCGTGAATAATTATATATTACAAATTATTCCGAATTTTGAATGCATTTTAAGAATACTTTTCCCATCAACTGGTCAAAATGCACAACACAGCTGTATGCTGCGTGAAAGAGGCTTGTGCACTCTGATGTAAACAAGTGCAGACCTGAAGCACATGGTGGAACATGTGAGAGACGCTCTGGATAAAAGCGCACTTTCACTCTCTGACAGCAGATGGCGCTAAACTGCAGAAATAATAATAATAATAATAATAATAATAATAATAATAATAATAATAATAATAATAATAATTCATTTAAATGCAGCCGTTACCCCGGAAACCCTGTAAACAAAGCAGCTGCACTACTTCCTGTTTCTGAATCGTGTTTAAATGATTTAAACAGCCATTCAGATTTGTGTATTTGCTATGATGTTCATCACAGCGCCAAATACTTAAATATTTAGACTTAATAGGCTATTTATTTTCAAACTTTTTTAACATTTTAATCTGGACTACAACATGCCCTAGATATTGTTTGAAAGTGTTTTTATTCTTTATTGTTTGGTCACACTTTACATTAGGGCTTCATTAGATAACATTAGTTAACATAAACTGCCAATGAAAAATTCTTCTGAACATTCATTAATCTTAGGTATTCCAATATTTAATAACAGGATGTTAAAATCGAGAGTTGCAGCTGTGTTATTTAATGAGCTAACATGAACTAAGACTTGTATTTTTTAAACAAAGATTAATAACTTCTGTAGCAAATGTAGCTATTGCTCATTGTGAATGTTAATGCATTAACTAAGGTTAACTAATGAGGTCTTATTGTAAAGTGATACCTATTGGTCTTTATAGTTCTTTTGCACTTTAATCTGTGTAAAACTTTTGACTTTATACATTTTTCTGTATTGCTTTATTGCTAAATGTTCAGTTATTTTTGTTATAAGAAAAAAGTTATTAAACCTGTTATAGTGTATTATGACAGCACTTTTTTTTAAACTAAATTTCAATATTGTGATAATACCGCATACCGTAATAAAAGCATTAGCAATTAATCGCAACATGAAAATTTGATACCGGCATATCCCTAATCAACAGACAGGAAAACAAGCAGACTGTGAAGGGATGCTGAACGTGCGCAAAATATAGACTTCTTAAAGTCTGATTCTAAACTGACTCATCCGAGTCTGGTTCTCAATCCAGGAGTCTGAATCTGAATCGATTCAATCAAGATAGTGTTGTCACGATACCAAAATGTAAGTAGTCGGCACCAAAACTAGTAAAATTTCACGGTTCTCACTCAGTATCAGTTTCAGTACTGAAGCAAAAACCTTTGGAACTATTTTATTTTACTATTTAAAAAATAAAACATATTAAATAAATGGGTTAATCAGTGCTGTTAGCCTGTTACTGTTAACATAGCTCATATAGCTCATACTAAAACTATTAAAAATTATTTTGTTGAGTGAAATACAGCTGAAATCAAATTATATATATATATATATATATATATAAGGTGAAAAATAAATAACTGAAATAAGTTTACAAGTTAAGTTTATACGTTTTAAATAAGTACTACAATTACTA